TTGACCATCCATGGGATTCAAGGGATGACTTTCTCCCACTAGAGTTAGGAAGCACTGATGTCATCCTGGGGATGAAGTGGTTGCAAACCTTGGGGGAAACCAAGGACAATTGGGGAGCACTCATGATAGAATTAATGGTAGATGGGAGAAGAGTGGTCATAAGGGTAGATGCAGGGCTATCCAAAGCCATCACATCACTTAAGACCATGGTTAGGGACGTACAAGAGGTGGGAAAAGATTGTCTGGTGGGATTACATAGGCTGGATGCGATCAGATAGAAAGAGGGAGGAGATGTTTCTCTTTCCGTGCAGTCTTTAGTTCAGCAATACAGTAAGGATTTTCAGCCACCTTAAGGATGGCCATCTCCCCCGGAACACGAGCATATCTCCACCTTGAGGATAAGGTGGATTTTCGGGAGGGGAGTATTATTAGACAGGTCCAGCCAGTCCACGCGGGACCGGCTCAGACGCGAAACAGCGGAAGTTTTCCGCCTGAGCGGAGGCCGCGCGAGCCGCACACCTTGCAGGAGCGTTTTAAGAAGAAATTTTGAGGAAGATTAGGAAGGAATTTGAATGAAGGGACTGTTTAGGGATTTCCTTTTGATTTGTATGCATTAAATAGTTGATTTTCCTAGGGTTTGATCATCTTGAATTTGGATGAAATTTGAGATCTCTTAGATTTAGGTTTTCTTTGACTCTTGGCGTTGCCAGAGATTTGGGAGAGATCGATCCTCCTCTCGAATTGAGGATCAATTGTGTCTTGCTATTTTATTCATCTACTAGTGAAATACAAGTCTTGACTTGAGTTTTCTCTCAGTTTTCTCTCTAGTTCTTGCTGTTTTCCTATGATCACCTGCTGTCCATTGCTGTAAACAGCAGTTTTTCTTGCTGTTTTACTTCAGATTTGGCTAGGAACTACTTGAAATCAAGTATTTCCTATCAAATTACCTGACTTTTCTCCCTACACATAATTAAATGCATGCAATTACAAGGTAAATAAGTATATGTGCTCTATGAGCTACACATACTCTTGTGGATAAACAATTCTAGATGGTAATTACATTCTAACCAGCAATTGCACCTGTCTAACATTTGGAGTTCCTCTTAGGAAGCCTTCTTATCTATTTTTGTATATTCACACACCAGTTAAACCAAAGGAAAAATATTACAAATGCTAGAAAGGAGATGATAAAAGATAATGGGGGGAAATTTTATAAAGAGGGCTCCCCATTATTAGAAGATGCATACTAAATTAAATATAACAGGAAAACAAAATGCATACCTTCAGTTAATGTCAAAAATAAAAGAATCAAACTTAAAGTATAAACAATTTGAAAGAAGGCCAAGAAGTTTAGGCATTGTTCGCTCATGAAAGATGGCGCTCGCAAGCTTTAGGTCCCATTTTCTCCGAGGTAGATTAGAATTTAAACTAATCAGATTTCCCCAGATGATCGACATCATGGTTTATTTAGTTCAGGGGTTCCACTTCCTATGAGAGAAGCCGTCATAATTAATTACCCTCTTAACGCATAGAAGAATACTCTCAATTAAGGATGAATTGACATTTAGACGTGCAACAATTTTAATTTTGGTTGTGGGTGATGAAGGGAAATCCGATCAATATCTCGTGATTTTTTTTCTCAGGTATACCGTAGGTTTCAGTCTACCAACACTAACAATTGTTGATTGAAATATCCAGGGAATCTGATTAACAACCATAGCTTGCTTATGAGGGAACCCGAGTAAACTAAAGTGGTTGACTGTGGGTTTTGTTGGTTTGGGTTGGGACATATAGGGCATGGGAGTTGCCCGCAGTTGAAATTTAGATTGGGTCTTATGGCTTCATTTAGAATTTGCCCGTAATTTGATTTGGATTTGGGGTCAGTGCTTACGTCTCCTCTTGGGAGTTGCCCGTATGTTTAGAGATTTAATGCTTCACTTAGAAGTCTCCAAAATAACAAGGCTTACTGCTTTTCTTGGAAGTCGCCTGTAGTTTGCATTCAAGTGGATCTTACTGCTTCTATTAGAAGTAGCCCATATGTTTGGGTTTTAGTTTGAGGGTTTTGATACTTCCCTTGGAAGTTCCTAAAATAATAGATCTTATGGCTTCCCTTGGAAGTAAATTGTAAGTTAGCTTTTAGAGTTATGCTCCTTGCTTGGTAGTTCTAATAGCTCAATTGAAAGCGGGACTTATTGCTTCGTTTAGAAGTAGCCCATGAGTTTGAGAAGTTGGGTCTTACTGCTTCCATTACGTGTAGCCCGTGTAGCTGATTTTACGGCTTCCTTGGAAGTAGCCCATGTAGCAGGTCTTATGGATTCCATTGAAAGTAGCATGTAGGTTTAGGTTTAGGTTTTTTCAATTAAAAGTTTCCCTGGCATGTGGGTATTTACGGCTTCCATTAAAGTGTCCCGTAATTGGGATTTAAGGTTAGATTATTTTTATCTAGAGATTTCACCTAACGTGTTAACTAAAGTTGAACTTACGATCTTTATTAGAAGTTGCTAGTTGAACCTGGGTTAGCGGATATTTAGTTTGGCGGGATTTTAGCAGTAGCTATGTAGTTTTACACACTTCACTGCTTCGACACTAGCACCAATGTTTTGTTTCAGTGGTAGCTTTTCTTGTTTTGTTCCATTACCCATCTGGCCTACAACATTTTGTTTTTTTCCACTACTTGTTTCTACCTATTGCACTAGTGTTATGCTTACAGTATTAATTTCATTTACCATCTTGCGCTGACTTTAGTTTACTTGCTTGCAAGTGTTTGTGGCTAGCATTTGCAAGAGCTGGAGCTTGCAGCTGCCAAGAGCTAGGTTAGGTATACCTGAGTTTTTGGAGTTTTCTTTCAGTTTTTGTTTTCTTAGTTTTAGGAGTTTGGATTATATTTAGTATGCGTTGTACTTAGGGTTGATAGTGGAAAATATTGATTTTTTATGTTTTTTTTTTTATTTAACCAAAAAAAGCAAAAATTCACCAGAGTGGCTCCCCTTTAATATTTTCTAATTGCATTTTAAAATTTCTTTATTATTTTAGTTTAATTAAAAGTTTAAAGTTTAAATTAAAATTAACCGCTCCGCTCGTTAATCAATTTAAATGTATTTAAAGTTTACTTAGTTAATTTAATTTAATTATCTAAATTTTAATTAAATTATTTTAAAAATTAATTATGTCTTAAATTGAATTTTGATATTAATTAATCAATTGAGGCATTAAATAATTAAAAAGGGGTTTTAATTTTATTATTAATAAATTAATTCATTATATTTAAAGTTAATTAATTAAAGTGGATTTTTAAAAAATTGATTAATCACTCAGCTCATTAGATTAATATTTAATTTGCTTAATTAACTGATTTTAGTTATTTAATTAGTTAATCAATTGGTTAATTAATATTTTTATTAGATTAATTAATGTATCTTATTAATTAAACCTTTTCTTGCTTAATTTAATTAGTTCAATTAAGTTTGGAGATTTAAATTTATTAACTAGTTATTAATTAAATTAAGTTTTGATTGTTTAATTAGATTTTAAATTAGGTTACTTAATTTAGAGTTTTAATTTAGAAATTTAATTGATCGTTAAATTGCAAATTAAAATTGTTAAATTTAGTTTAATTGAATTTTTTAATTAAAATTTAACTAAAGCTCTTAGATTCCAAGCTTGATAGTTTTCCTTGGCATTTCGGCATCTTTATGGCTCCCCCTCCCCGCGAGGGAAGGCTGGGAGGGCACTTGCCCTTTCAAACCCACTCGACCGGATTAAAATCGACGATCGAGGACTTTGGGGAAGCAAATCGAACCCGGCACCAGTCTTTGAGCACATGTTTGTAATTCAGCAATTTCCCCGGCATTTCGGTAGCCTTACGCCTCCCCCTCCTCCCGAGGGGAAGTTGGGGAGAGCACTCTCCCTTTAGGTCTACTCATTTGGATCAAAATCGACGATCAAGGGCTTCGGGGGAAGGATCGACCCCGGTATCGATCTTTGAGCCTTCAATTTTCTCATACTGTAAAATTAATTAAAAATTGTATATATTTTATTCCCCTTAAAAATCCGGCAACCTTTCAACGCCCCCTCCTTGCGAGGGGAGTTTGGGGAGGACACTTTCCCTTTTATGTCTGTTCGATCGGATCAAAATAGATGATCGAGGTTTTGGGGAAGGATCGACCACAATATTGTCTTTGACTCTCCAATTTGGAGATTACAACATTTTCCTCTTTTTTTAAGTGCAGCTCTTGTGGTCGACTTTGGGCTACAGATGGATAAAAGCAAGCTTAAATCCCTAAGGGTTATTCACGTGTGGGGCTCGGGAGCAGACGAAGGTACCAGGCGGAGTCGTTGGATTGCACGTATGTGGCGTACGTGCAGGCAGAGCGTGTAACGAGTCATTCGTGAGTGGAGCAAGCCGGAACGCCGAGCTACAAGACTGAGATTTGTTCGGTCGGAACACCTGATTGGTACAGGATTGTGAAAACCGGACGGTGCAGGCTATTGCGGAGGACAGAAGGCTGGAAGGTTGCGTACGCGATTAGAACAAGAGCCAAAAACTGAGAGTCAAACTAAATTTACGTAAGTCCCATTTTTCTGTTTATTCGCCGTCTTATACGAATTGCACAAGTAGTTGCTTCAGCCACGACATGGACGACGTGGTTTGGTTATCCCTCTTTTTTTGTTTAATTATATTCGAACAGACATAAGTTTCTAGCAACCCAATTAAGGAAAAGAAATTGTGAACAGAAACCTGCGCACATGTATTTCAAAGCACATACAAAGAATCTTCTGCATAAGAAAAAACTATTAGATCTGTGAGAGAGAGAGAGAGAGAGACATATTTATAGAATAAAATTATGGAAAAATGATAAAGCTAGATGATGAACACAATGAAGAAGCATAAGATAGCCCTGGTTTTCATAATTTTTACAAGAACGGGCCGATCTGTCATAGCTTTCATGCAATGAAAGTTGTAAAATGATTAAAAAAAAATAACATGAAATAAAACGTACAAGATGGAGACATTTGCAGGAGGATTTAGAGGAGAAGATAAGCTAGTGAGGTCATTATTCTGGAAATCCCTGCAACATAAACAGAAATCAGAACAAATTTATATAGCAAAAACTCCATGAAACAACTCAATAAAAAAAGTGCACTATACTAGCTCTTACAGAAGAAGACTTCTATTTCCAGTGAAAACCATATTCTTCCATACAGCATTTGGAACAGAACCATTTAGATGATTGTTCTCGAGTGAACTGCAAAAAATGTGGAGCATGGAAAATTCAGTTAAAACTTGGTTCCATTACTTGGTTTCCTCTATAAAAACACCGTTATTGGAAGACTTGACAAAAAATGCAAATACAAAAATAATTTCAACTTTCAAATTGTACAATTAGAACATAGAGAAAATATTGTACGAACTGAAATATAGGTCAATACCAAGGAGATGATATCAAAAAGAAGAAACTGGAAATATAGATGGCAGCAGGCATGAAGAAAATAAGCAAGCATTGGTACACACTGACAACACGACGTAATGAAGATAAAATGCATAAATGGCTGCATCTATTATTAAGAAGAAACAAATTGATATTGACACTCAGATCAAGATCATTGAACGCCTCCTTACCTAGAGGAATTTCTTTTTTCGGTACTAAATCAAGCCTAAGAAATGAAACAGCATAGTTTTTTATATGTGGACAAAATGAACCCTAAAACTCCATGAAAATAGAGTCCAACTGTTTGAATGTATATTTTATAAATCTTAAATGTCCCTTTCACTTCAATCACACATCCTGAGACAAATCAAAAGGGTTTAATCTACATATGATTTGGCTCGATTCAGCTGAATTGATGCCAAAAAAATCTCATATGGTGTGTCAACCCCAAAAAGATATAAACAGTCGTACCTAGTCCATGGACAACTAGCCACACCTGGTTAGCTTGAGTCCAGGTTTGACCAAGCGGAACTAACCCAACCCATCCAGCATCTTCCTTTAATGGTTTAATCAAGCTAAGGATCTTTTGCATTCCTACCACAATCTAGTGGATGGCAAAGTTTCTCTAGACTGGCAACAAATTCTACCATGCTTCACAACAAATAAATTCTACTTACATTCATGTAAGCAAACAAACATTTTCATAATGAAACATTGGTTCAAACAAGGGTTTCCAACATAGAGAGTTAAGGGTCAAGTCAAATAATAGAAGAGAAGAAGATTTGAGAGAATGAAAGCCACTATCCTTCATTGGAGGTTATACCATTCCATATATATATAATCCATCCAGTGGTTTAGGGATCTGCTTATCCTACCTAGTAAGACTGGTAAGGATCACCTAGTTCTTCAAGATGAACACTTTACATCTTTTTGCTATGAAATTCTACATTTATAAACTATCCTACGAATACCAAATATAAACAATTTGATGCCTTACTTAAGCCTACATGATATAACCGATCAATAGAAGCACTACAAAACCCCACCTCTTACAAAGATACAGCAACACAAATTGATAATATAATGAAACAAGTAAGAATATGCTCACAGTCTCTGGAGATTTGGAAGACCAGAAAAGTTTCCAGGAATGGGACCAGTTAGAGAGTTGCTCGACAGGTCACTGCAAAAGGCCATCAAAATCTTTCAAATAAATGTGGTTCAAGACATATTCATTAATCCAAATAAAACGAGCACTTAAGAGAAGGGAATAATATTAAAGCAGGACATACATTGTAGTAATATTATTAGAAAGCTTATTAGATGGAATGGCTCCGGTCAATTTGTTTTGGCTAAGATCTCTGCAAACATGAAATGTTACGTTAAAATCAGTAACTAACGGTCCAACATATATATATATATATATATATATAGTTCTTGAGAAAACGGTAGCAGTGCATTAGCTGCTACCATTGCCAGGTAAGCATGCTTGCACTTACAAGTAGCCAAGTTGGGGTATGCTGCTTAAATCAGGTACTTCTCCTTGTAAGTTGCAATTTCTAAGACTCCTGAGGAAAAAAAAAAAAAAGCAAGCATGTGATTGATACGAAAAACAAATACAATGCATTGGCTATTGATGATAGTCACTAGCCTTATTATTAGAAGAATAGCAGTCTTCAAAAAAAGAAGTTTCACTGTACATGAAAAAAATGGATACTAGTGTTTTGAAATGAAAGACAGCATGCACATGAATTAATTAAGAATTATAAATGACCTATAAATAACAAAGACACTCTATCGTTGACTGAGACAATTTTCATTTAGAAAATAAGCATAAAAATCATTATGATCAAGCCTCAAATCATTTGTAGTTGCAACAAAGCAATGTTTTCCACAGTTCTGAAATTACTCGTATGGTCGTATACATGTTACATATAAAGTATAACATGTAGGCAGAAATTTCATCTTCTCAGTTTGGCCTCTACGGGGTCTAATTACATTGTCACTTGAGGCTTGTCAAGCCCCTCCAAAAGAGCCCACCTCCATGCCTATATCACAACAACAACAACATCATCAAGCCTTTATCCCATTATATGGGGTCGGCTACATGAATCTTTTTTCTCCGTTGTGTCAAGTTAAAAGTCAAATTTTCATTTAGATCTAATAAAGAAATGTCATTTCTAATATTTTCTAACCAAGTCTTTTTAGGTCTACCTCTACATTCCTTAACATAGGTTAAATCTAATATATTAGCTCTCCTAATCAGAAAGGCTGCCATTTTATGTGACCAAACCATCTAAGGCGACTCTCTCTAATCTTATCCTTGCCTATACTATGTTACAAAAAAGCCTGAACTCCTCTTTGAGCTTGGGAGTTTGTTTTCATATGATATATTATGTTAATTTTAATAAGATTTTCCTCGTTGCTTGAATCAAAATTTATTTAGATCTAGAATCAAGATTTCTTATATTTGAAATCTCCTATAGTTAATTATTTCTTCCATTGGTAGAAGAACGCTCTCAATTAAGAATAGTTGCATAAACTTAAGTAGACTCAGGCTCAATGTCTATGCTTCAAATGAATTGACTAGGGATGGTAGAGCAAGTGGAGATATATTTGATCAAGATCCCATTATTCTATCATCCCAAGCATAATAACATATTTAATCTACAACAATCAGAGGACGGTATGCTATAATGTCCACAAAATAAAATTATCAACTATGAGTCGCTACCTCTCCAGTATCCCAAACATATCGAGGGAGGAATATATGTGGGTTTTAACTAGATTTAATTGAACAATTAGCTCGTTAAGATAGGTTTTGACTCAGTAGAGGTAGTGGTTAGGAATTACTTAAGTATTGATTGATGGGTTTACTAGTTTTGTGCTAACTCAGAATAATTGGGTTGATGCTTACATCCATTAATATGCCAAAATATTCATTGATGGGTTTATTGGTTTTATGTTCACCCATGTTAATTGAATTGTAGCTTACATTAATTGGAAGACCCGAGTTTTGAATTAAAATTTGGGGTTTACCGTTCTCAAATTCTAGCGGATGATGCAGCTACAACATGTGGGATTGTCCAGATAATTAAGGTTTACAACATTAGCTTTAGCATGTTCGAAATATGGGACATAACTTAGATATTAGAATCAGTCCAATAGTGGGTTTTATAGCATTGCGCTATATATAAGGCAACTTGATATCTAAATTTTATTTGATGGGCTTAGAGGCATTGTGTTAGCCAAAGTAAGTGGGTTGAAATGAGGCTTATAATCATTTTGATTTAATAGAAGAATTCATTCTGATTTATTCTATATGTCAAAATGGTCAAATGGGCTAAAACTAGTCAAAATGGGTTTAAAGCAATCCATTGTATGTGTTGTTGCCCTAAATTTGCAATGGCCTTTAAATAGAGGACTCACAAAATTAAATAGTGGGCAAGACATTTTGATTGTGGCTACTTACCGTGACCCTTAGATCAATTGAGAGGCAGAAATATGGAACTATGATCCTCCCTCCTGCATATAAGTCTAATCAACTTAGTCAATGTGATGTATATTTGAATTAAATTGTTTAGTTAATATGTAATATTATTTTGATGCACTTGCATAAATATTGACATTCGTGAGTTCTTTATAGTGTTCGCACAATCTCACACCTTTCTTGAATTCTATGCTCAATCTCCAGTTGACACTTTTCACAAATATTATTATTAAAAATTATATCAAATTTTATTGACTAATTCTAATTTCTTGAAGTGCTTCAAATTGTTTATTGCAACTCAAAATTTCTTACACAATTTTCCATAACATTGTCCGTTGTTTTAGTGATCTTAAGAATGTTTACTTTTTGTTGCATGTGTTGCAGCTAGGCGTCAGCGGAGCTGAAATTTGACATTTTGATCATGTTGATACTTGTATCAGAGATGGATTTAGCGAAATTACAAGCAACACTAAAAAATAACAACACTTTTAGTTTGTTTCATCTGTAAAATTGTTGTTCAACCAAGCTCACAAATCTAAAGAAGGCACCAATTTCACTGAGTCAAGTCTATTAATTGGCTCACGGCAAATAATTGACCAAGATGCATATTTAATGGCTTCTGCTAAAAGCATGCGTTGAGTGATTCTCTCAATTGAAATTATGAGAAGCTCAAATTCATCCAACAATTTCAAAACTCCAACATTAATTACAAATTTGTGCAACCAAGTTACGACAACTACTGTTGAGCAACCAAAAGCTAACTCATGGGTTTTAGTAGCACTTAAATTACAATATTCATTTATAAGATCAATATCCTCGGGCTCCTTGGCATTCCAGCCATACAACGAGAATCTTGAATTTCATATGAAGTCTGACAATTTGCTAAATCAAGTCTATTTATGGTATTGCTAGGATAATTTTAACAAGCAAGATGGATATTAGCTCTTTATAAGCTTTCAAATGTACAAATTTTAAATTATGTTTTTCACGTCATCACCATTTTGACCATAAGCTAAATACTTAATTTGATATTAACCCATTTCATCTAATACCAATTAAGCATTTACCAATCACATATAATTGTTATATGGCACAATGGATCTCAGAACTTCTTGTCTTCAATTTTATGTTCAATGAAGAAGACATAATCAAGCTTTCTTGAAAGACAAGCCACATAGCTTTTTTTAACAATAATTGTATTAGCTTTTTCTTTTTTTTTTCCGACCTTTAAATAACTTTCTATTCAGAAACAATTTTAATTATTGGGCCTTGAATCCTTTCGCATTAAAGATAGTGTTTCTTTAACATTTATTTTTCAAACGACTGCAAAATCCTTATGGGAGAGGGGAGGGGTGAAATTCTACCAAGAGCAGGATAAATGGTGTCGCCAACATGAGGATAGAATGGTGCGATGAAAAAGAAGTGGGACCACTATGGGGGGTGTCTTGGCTGACTAGGGATGAAGTGGATAACAGGGCTACGAGCGAGCAAGGCAAGAGTAAGGCAAACATGGGCGAGACACAAGCGTCCGAGAAAGGTTGGCGATGTAGGGTGCGCCAGTAAGACAAGGCTAGGCTGCTATTTTATGTTCTAGGGGGGAGCAAAGCAATGGAGCAATTGTTCATGGGCCATTCAATTGAGCAAAGCATTGTGATGCTCTAGTGCATAAGATGTGATGAAGGTGAATAGAGAAGGCCAACATAAGGTGGTCGAAGGTTAGGGAGCAAGTTAGGCGAGGGGGTAGGGTATGTAATTAAGGGCGCAATGTGCAAAGAAATGTGCGAGTGAGGAGCATGGCATGAGGGTGATGATGTTTAGATGTGGCATGAGTGAGAGAAGGGCTTGCATGAGGAGGTGTGGTTGATTCTTTTCTCTCACTTTTCTTGCTTTACAATAGGTAATGCGGTTGAGATTGCTTAGGTGAAGGAAACAATTGATCTGAAAATCACTGGAGTGTTTGGGAAGTGGGAACTGATTCCTCATGCACAAAACAAGAGTTAAGTATTTGCTGGTTTAACTGATGTAAGTTTACAAATACCACAAGATGCAAAACAAAATAATGGACAAATTAATTCCCTTCTCATCAACACATCGAAACTATTTGCTGGTTTAACTGATGTAAGTTTACAAATACCACAATATGCAAAACAAAATAATGGACAAATTAATTCCCTTCTCATCAACACATCGAAACTAATATTTATTGCCAATTCGACAATCAAAACCAACATTTGCGATAAAAAATAAGAAGCATTCACTTACAGCTTTAAAAGTTTAGCCATACTGCCATAAGAAGCTGGAATTGAAGTCCCATTGAAATTATTATTATCAAGTTGACTGCCAAAACACCAAAAAAAAAAAAAAATTAGAGAGTACTAGATCATAAAGAACACTAAGGACATAATCACTATAAACACAAAGCAATCAAAACATCTCAATGTTTATCTAAATTACATTACAAGGTTGTTTGCTTCATTGTTATACGTATGTATATGTAATCTACATTGCAACATTGAATGGCAGTATTCTATTAATCATAATTAGCATGGATCAGTGTTATTATCAGTGCAGGTTATGCTGACATGAGGTTTTTTTTTTTTCATTAAGTATTTCGGTAATTTGGTTGACGTTCCCAGAGTAACTATCATGGAGCACACGGCCATCTAAAAGGTGCTATTTTTTGGCATAAAAAAGTTGCGTTTTTTTAAATTAAAAAAATGCCTCCTTGAGATTCTAGGGAACCAATGTAATATTTGTTAAAGGTATAAAATAAGACGTACATGATGTCTGCCCAAAAAAAAAAGATTAGATGCATAAGTATCGTATCAAGAAAAAACATTGCTGGCATTCTCAGCAGATATATATAGCAGTGAAGAAAAAATCAGGTTAAGCATGCATTGGACACCAAAAAAAGGAGAGAATGACTTGCATTCATTTCCAAAAATACATGGCATAATTAATTAAGATCCATAATTGCACAAAGGTGCCGATGATCTTGACGCCCTTAAAACAAATGTTTAAATGATTGCATTAATTTTATTTTTATTACTACCTGTCCACACAATACCCAAAAAAATCATGTCTGGCGTCATTCCATGAATAACAGCCTCAACCAGAAGACCACTTGCCCAAAACTAACCTGGATGCAACCAACAACAAAAAAGAGCATACTTGCAGGTTGCTTTGCATGACCAGATGCGGCAAGCCACCAAGCAAGGAACTCTTGATCTTCATACAATTAGAACGCATTCTGATTCAGAAAAGGTAGCATAACAGATGGCGCAACAGATGCATTAATAAATGCCTCCTCCATCCACACACCCTAATGCAAAATACAAGACAGGCTGTTTCACAATGATGAGTTTTTTTTTTAATGTTCTAAGCAATAGTATTCAACACTATTTAGAAAATGTTGTTTCTTACAATCAAGCTGACAATAAAACAGGTGATATTATCCACACAGTTAAGAGCCCATACAAACACAGGCATAATTAAGCTGTCATGGAAAAAATGTAGATTGAAGGGTGAATATAACGTACAGAATAAGCAAATTTGGTGTCCTTGACAGTTCGGGGGGAAGATATCCAGTCAAGTTGTTATTGTCTAGTAACCTGTATCATGTCACTTTGTTCATAAAAAAGGCACAAGAAAAGTACGCAACCGTGAGCTGATGAAAAATCAATATAAACCGTTGTCTTTTAGGTAGCGAACGCAACTTACAAGTGAACAAGACGAGGAAGTCTTGAAAGTTCAGGTGGGATTTGCCCGCTCAGTGAATTATTGTTCATGTGGCTGATTAGTAGAATGTAAAGTATGTCATCAGAGAAAAATTGAGTACCTTCATCAATCAAGAGTTTTATGCAATTATGCAATCATTAATACTCACAAATGTCGTGTTTTATTCAACAATGCAAATGATTTCGGTATCGGCCCTGATATGTAGTTCTGATCTATCTGAATTCTATCTAAATTAGGAAGATACCCAAGCTCCGCTGGTAAAGGACCAGATAGCTGGTTACCATTCAGAAGCCTGCAAAAAAAAAATAGGAGAAATCATCAATATAAAGTAAATTTTAAATAAGTTATCGATTTCTATGATGATCCTGAGACAAAAAAACTAAACATGTGTGAGGGTCTGTGCATTCACAGTTAACATCAGTAATATTTTTTAGATTGACTTGGTATGTAGGCCTGAATTCAAGCTCACGCTGCAACAATGATATTAAGCTTCCGCCAAGAAAAGTGTTACAGCTCCAGAGAACCCTTGCAAAATGTTTTCAAGGAGAATTAGAACAAACTTTTGGGTACCAAATTTTGTAACCTCCGATCATAATCTACTACAACGCATTTTGGAAGGGATTTTTCAGAGTGAGAATGTTCATCATTAGTTTAAAAAACAAAGGCAACAATTGGAATGTCTGCTTTATTATTTTCTGTGTCAAATACTATACATAGTAAGTGGGAACTCATTGTAAAACATGAAAAACCACCGGAGTCCTGCTAGATTACTAATAGTTGGGAAAAAAACCCAAAAGATAAATTCATTAGTCTATATTTATATTCTTATCAAGACAAAATATACTTACAGAAGCTTCAACGATGTAATATTGCCTATATCCTTTGGGATACTGCCATTAATCTGATTCCACATAACATCCCTTCAATCAAAGAAAACCACAAAAGTAAAAGGAGATTAACTGAAAATTTTCAAACTAGGAAAACCAAGTCTAAAATGAAAAGAAAAAATTATATAAAAACATGGCTTCAATTCATACAGTATTTCTAATTATGGAAAATGTAATTAAGCTTTGCAGTTTCTCACAATATCTTCAGGTAAGAGAGTTGACCAAACTCGGGAGCTAAATTTCCAGAAAAATTCATCTTTAGCAGCTGCCTGTACAGGACATACTTGGTTTAGAATAGATAACCAAACGATTAGAAATCTAACATCAAATGTATAACTTAATCAAGGACATACGGTTGCAACCAACTAAGCTTGCTGTTTTTAGTCGTTAAACATGATTGTTTCGAATTGAATCGGATACATCACACAAATACTGCTACCATAGACGTGCTTTCAAAAGAATAAGATTTTTACTATGACAATCCTGACCTCCTATTCATAAAAGGATCAATCAACCAATACATGATAACGATACCCCTTTAAAACTGGGCATGGGCAGTAAATATAAGAACCATGTTGCAGATCTACATGAAAAGTTAATACCAACGTATCGGATAAGACACAAATAATGATTTAGAACACCTTGAGCTCACTTGTATGCCACGGAAAGATTATATCTTCCTGCTAAAAGTACCATGTTCAGAATTTTCCTCCTTCCAATTAAGTAAATCACTAGTTAGATTTTAATCTGCCTAAGCATGTCCAAGGAACAGAAACTTTGTGTTCAAGCACTGAGTAGAATGAAGTTATCTGCCCAGAACATCAAGGCTACACTCATAACCTTCAATATGGTTAGTCTGAATATTAAAGTAATAAGTTCCTTCAATGAAGCCTACGTCAGGGAAAGCTTTAAGAATTCAACCGCCAAAAACACAGTATAATTTTGAATGTCCATTTGCTATAAATAAATAAAATTTAATTCCAAAATTTATTTACAAAATCATGCCACATTTTCACAGGTAAAATCAATAAGCTCTCTTCTTTGTTGAAAGGAAAAAGGTATAACTTCTCCCACACTCAATCCCATTTTAGAATAATAATCACTTGAAATACATAATAAATAAAAGAAATGTATATGCTAGCTTTTCCCCATTTATACAAACAAGCATCCATAAGAAAGTACAGAATGACATGGTAGCAAAGAAAGTAATAAGCCATAACATACAGTTCTTCCACATGCAGATATCCATCTTCCAACGTAGAGTTATAGCAAAGAACCCCTTTCCAGTTTGATGAGCATGGATCCCCATCGCTCCAAGTCTTCAAATTATTCATAGGGTCAAGCAATTTGTTCCTAATAGCCTTCAAAGCAGTAACTGTTTGGAAAAAAAGGATAGGATAGAGATTTAGGTACATAAACATGACAAGTACGGAATAATGAAACATCCAGCACTTCTGATTTTACACAATAACTTAAAGAATAAAGAAGAAAAAGGGTATTTTAAGATGGATTTTAGGAGTGAAGCCAAGGTTTGCACAAAGGATTACATAGGAAGATATTCCAATTGATAACACTCCCCAAAAATTTTCCTTTATCTTCCTTTCTATTTGGGTACTACAGCAATACTATGGAACTAAAGCAAACCTTGGTCAATATAACAACAATGAGCACTATAGCAAATAATGGTTATTGCAGCAAAAATAGACTAGAAGACAAAAATCAAATAGGAGCATTTAACTATAGCAAAAAAACTCAATCAATCCTCTCATTGTAGACATTATTCTTCACGTTGAAAGGATTGCGTCAGATCATCTATTTTATAGAAAAAATTTAAACAATTTCAAAAGCCTTTGACATATCCAATTTTGGTTCATAACTAAGTATTAGAGCTCTAGGTCCAACCTATAAGATTAAAAATTATATATTTAAATGAAGGACAAGAGGAATATTCTTGGTGGTTTTCAAGAGCCTGTGTACTACGACTATAAGGAGAGGTTAAAAACAATTAAAGACTACATCAAAAGAAGAGATGAGATACTTTAGATCAATGAACAAATAGCCAAAATGCTGGTTGCTAAGGCAGTGCCACTAATGTTTATTACACAACCACTAGGTGTAGATAAAAGAGGATCCATCTAAAAGAAGATAACTTGATGATCAGAATCCATCCATGGTTTAAAATTATGTAATAAGAGGCGCGCCTTGAGGCGCAATTTCAGACTTTTAAGCCTCAAAGCCTACGCAATGAGAGCTGGCATTGAGACGTACGCCTCATATTCACTGAGGCGCACCTCGCCTCATGTTTTAGAGGCGTACGCCTCTTAAAATTAAAAAAAAGCCCTAACCTAATAAGATTCCACAATTGGTCTGTCTGCTCGGTATCGTTAGGTACATGCTCGGTACTGTTTGGTACCACTCGGTACAACAATGCTCGATACCGCTAGGTACATGCTCGGTACCGCTCGGTACATGCTCGGTACCGCTCGGTACATGCTCGGTACCGCTCGGTACATGCTCGGTACCGCTCGGTACATGCTCGGTACCGCTCGGTACATGCTCGGTACCGCTCGGTACATGCTCGGTACCGCTCGGTACATGCTCGGTACCGCTCGGTACATGCTCGGTACCGCTCGGTACATGCTCGGTACCGCTCGGTACATGCTCGGTACCGCTCGGTACATGCTCGGTACCGCTCGGTACATGCTCGGTACCGCTCGACATCTTTCCATACAAACGACTTACGAACTTTAAAAATAAGCAGAACTTCAGAATTACTCTTACAATAAAAATTTATTTCGGGGGCGCTGCCCCATGAAATCCCCGCAAGGGCACTGCCCCTTGACCCCGCGACCTGACTGGGCAGGTCGAACCCCACCAGGGGGCAGCGCCCCCTTGGACCCCTGGCTGCCCGACATATTATTGTATTCATTACTATTTATTTTTGGAATTATATGTTAATGAAAAGAATACTGTGATTTGGGAAAAATAAAATTTGAGTTGAACTATATTTCATATTATCTTATTATTGGGATATTTTGATTTCACTTCATAACTTGTGCCTTTTTATGTTTTATATTTTTTGCTCATTAGTATATAAAAAAATTATCATTTTATGTTTACGCAATCTTTTGATTTTAAGGCTTACGCCTTAAAACACCTTGAGGCTTACGCCTCACCTCACGAACGAAAAACGCCTCAATACCCGATTACGCAATTTTAAACATGGAATCCATCAATAATAAAAGAAGTTGAGAAGAAGTAGATCTTCCATTAAAGATAGAAGCAAAGTTGGAGTTACCTTACTACAAGGGAACAGTTGAATTTGAGGCAATAGAAAATTGATTTGAGCTTCTTGAAGCATATTTCATAGTTTATGATCATCCGTACATAACAAAATTGCATTTTCTTGTATGAAGTTATCCTCACATGCTTTAGTTTGGTGGAATTCACAATCTTAAAATTATGGATATTAACCTTAACATGATTAAAGTTTAAAAAGATTGTAAAATCTCATTTCTATCCCATTGGATACAGACAACAAAATAGATTTGAAAACAAAATTTGAAGTAGGACGATGAGAATGCATACAATGGAATTTAGAAGGCAAACCATTTCTTTAATTTAAAATCACTTAAAAACATGTATTTATGAAATATGTAGCAATGCTTCATAAAAGCCTTTGAACAAAGTTGAAGCTTTTTCCATATAATTGACTTTCTTGAAGCTAGTATAAAAGCCATAGCACTTGGGAAAAGAATTATTATTTTTTTCATTTGGCAAAAATCCTAGCTTGCAACTATAAACAAGGGGATGACTAAAAGCTCAGCTATAGAGGAACAAGATAGCAGACCATCATGTTGCTATTACAAAAAGTCAAGGAACAAGCTTAAGTATTACTCGAATTTATATTCATAAAAAAAGGCCAAGATGAGAAGACAAGCAAATTACTCGACATTACTTTTGAAGTAGCTGATATATGAGTGACAAAGGTAAATCTTGCATTCCCTTGATGTTGGATTCCCTTGATGTTGGATGAACAAACAAATGAGGAAGCTAGGGAAAATGATATGGCGGTTCCTGTGGCACCGCCTCTTGCCGGCCCCACATGGGCCGGCAATTTACTATAGCAGGCGGTTCAAAACCGACTCCCTCTTACCTATTTGACCTTGCCGCCTATATGTGGGACCCCTTGGATTTAAATTTATTTGAATATTATTTTTTTTTAGGAAAGGGGTGTGCGGTGGAGAGCTTATAAATAGGAGAGGTAGGGGGAAGGGAGAGATGCTAGATTTGAGTTTCTCTTGGAGTCTTTTGTGGTTTGAGGGATCTAGACCTTGCGTCTAGAGATTGGGAGAGAACGATCCTCCTCTCGAATAAAGGGTAATGTAGTCAAAAGATATAGAGAGCCTATATCTCCTGATCACAAAAGACACAACGGACTTCTACGGACGAAAATGACTAAAGACGAGGAAAGAGACGAACAAACTCTTACATTTCAAATTAAACTAAACAAAAGAAAACTTACAACAGTACAAACGACTCTTGCAAACAAAATGACGACACCCTAAAGTTGCTTCACTTAGAGAAGAAGGATACAGGTGGAGTGGCACTTGCGGAGAGACGAAAGAGATTAGAAGCCCGAGAAGAAAGGTTGGAAAGAGCCCGCAGGATTTTCGGAGGGGATGAGAAAGAAGGGTGGAAAGAGCCCACAAAAACCTTGGTGGAAACCAAGGGGTCATACCTAGGAATACTAAACACCACACTTGGGATTCCAAAAGTCCCATTGGAAACCCAAAAGACTATAACATAAAAAGTATAAAAACATTTAATTAAAAGATAATAAATGAACTAAAATGTTAGCTCATAATGAGCTAACCCTTAGTTCAATAAATGAACTAAAGTCCAGCTCATAAATGAACTAAAAGTTTAGCTCAAATATGATAAACTACTAGACTCAAGGGAAGCCAAAATATGATTTATTTTGGACAAGTGTTGACCCCCCCTTTGTCTACATCAGAGGGTCGCTTGTATCTTGCTTTGTGTTAGTTTTGTTTTATTTCCCTTGTTGCAATCCACTGTTTTGGGGATGATTTCGCCCTGATTTTGGCTTTATTCCTACTGTTTTCTTCCAATTAGTGGTAGGTGTGCTTGTGAACTCAAGTATTCCCTTAGGGTTACTTGCGAACTCAAGTATTTCCTATCAAATTGGTATCAGAGCAAGTCTCGGGACCGGTCGAGGGCTGATTTCAACAGATTCCAGCAGCAGTTTTTTCACTCCAAATTGGAAGAAGTTGCTGTTTTTCTTTTCCAAATCCTGTTTTTGGTAAATCTACAATCTCCAGATTGTGATGGCGGCAAAAAAAAGTGTATGCCTTAGAGGAAAGACTCGAAGGGCAGATGAATAAAATCAAAATGACAGTGGAGGAAAAAAACTCTTCAATGGAAGGTCAAGTCGCTGATCTTCGAGAGATGATGAAAAAAATACTGGAAATTCAAAACCAAACGGCGGCTTCAATGACAAAAGGGAAGGAGGTAAAAGGTACGAAATCTGGAATTCGTATGGAGGAAGATGAGGTGAAAATCATGGAAGGAGAGGGAAGAATACCCCATTTGGAGTCTGTCCAGAGGGGAGAAAGAGGAGGCGGATATGGGGAACGCCAGGAGGAGTACTATGACCGTCGAGGCGCTGATTTTGAAGAAAGAAGGGGGGATTTCGAAGGGGGTTTGGGCTATGGCAGGGCAAGAGAAGACCGGAAAACTTGGGGTGCACCTAGCAGTTGGGAGAGGGGAAACTATGGAAGAATCTGGGGCAATGGTAGGGATCAAAAGGTGAGAAAGTTGAAAATGCCCATATTCGAAGGAGAAGATGTGTATGGGTGATTTACAAGGTGGAGCGATACTTCACCGTCAATGGGCTGATGGAGGAGGAGAAGCTAACTACAACCGGATTATGCTTGGAAGGGAAAGCCCAATCGTGGTTTCAGTAGAGAGACCAGAGGAGGCCGATCAGAAACTGGAGGGAATTTAAAGACTGCATAATAGAGCGTTTCCAAACCGATCAGGGAGGAGACTTCTATAAGCAGTTCTTTGCTCTAACGCATGAGGGATCAGTAGCAGATTACCGAGAGCAGTTCAAGCACCTAGCCAGCGGGGTGGAGCGACTCTCAGATACAGTGTTGGATGAAAATTTCATGAAAGGGCTAAAGGCGGAGATCCGAGCAGCAGTGAAGGTCTTGATGCCCCGTGACTTGGGAGAGGCCATGAGGTAAGCCCAACTGGTGGAAAATCAGAAAAATTTGGAGAAGGCAGCTAGGAGTAGCAGCACCGGGGGCACATACAGAATGACGACCACTCATCTCACACCTAAAGGACATA